CCCCCCCCCCTGCAGGTGATCATCAACAGGTGCGAGGAGCTGGCGCGGTTCGCCCTGATGCACTGCCTGGCGTCCAGCCTGTGCTTCTGGGTGTGGACCATCCTGAGGGAGACGATGGACTCGCTGGCGCACTACGACCACCAGGACGCCCCGCACGAGCACCTGGAGCAGCCCGAGGACGTCCTCCTGGACTACGACACCGACTACCCGGCGGCGCCCCTGGCCGCGCCCCTCGGATCCACCCACGCGCCGACGGCCGGCACCGGGCCAGTGGCCATGCCCCTCACCACGTACCACAAGCGTACGCCTCGCTTTGTGACATTATTTTCCGAGCGGCCCATCTGGAAAAGTGCATTTTCTTGATGCGGATATGCGTGGGGTGTGTTTGCAGGCGGTGCTCTGGATCTGGTCAAGTTCATGAACGCCTCGTCGCTGGGCTCGTCCGAATGCCGGGCGTCCACGCAGCTGTCTACCGTGCTCGACAGCCTGTCGCCCTACCTCTACCCGTTCACCATCGAGTACAGCATCCTCGTCGGTCTGCAAACATTTAGACAGGGACTCAAAATCAGCATTAGGTCCAAACCCCAATAGTAAGACCAAACGAAACCATTTCGATTTTTGTTTTGTTTTGTTCTGCGTGCAGTTGGCGTGCTGTTCGTCATCTGGCAGAACATTGGCAACTGCAGCAACGCGGTGGAGGAGGCCGCGGAGGCCGACGGTAAGGTGAGCAGCGCGGCGAGCACGTCGAGCGCAAGCAGCACTGCTAGCAGCAGGGGCTCGACGGCGTCCCTGTGCCGCCCGCCGCCCATGTCGCCACAGAGCGGCTTCGTGAGCAACGTGGTGCTGCACGCCGACTGCCACTCGGCCAACAAGGGGCTCTTCGCCGGCCTCATCGTGCTGGTGGGGGCCGCCATCTCCATCATCCTGTTCCTCCTCGCCATGGCAGACAGGCGAGTCACAGTTACATTAGAGATTTTAATTTTCTAGATAGGCATTGGCGGGAAATTTTCCGAGATTTTCTTTTTAATTTTGAAAAGT